CTAGCTATCAAAGGAACTATATCTCAAAACAACAAAAGCTATTTACAACAAACCCACAGCCAATATCATACTGAATGGGCAAAAATTAGAGAAGCATTCCCTTTAAAAACTGGCACTATATGAGGATGCCCTATCTCACCACTCCTATTTGATATAGTATTGGAAGTTCTAGCGAAAGCAATTAGGCAAGAAAAAGAAATAAAGGGCATTCAATTAGGAAAAGAAGAAGTCAAATTGTCCCTATTTGCAGACGACATGATTGTATATTTAGAAGACCCCATCATCTCAGCCCAAAACCTCCTTATGCTGATAAGCAACTTCGGCAAAGTCTCAGGATAGAAAATCAATGTGCAGAAATCACAAGCATTCCTATACATCAATAACAGACAAACAGAGAGCCAAATCATGAATGAACTCCCATTTACAATTGCTACAAAGAGAATAAAATACCTGGGAATACAACTAACAAAGGAGGTAAAAGTTCTCTTCAAAGATAACTACAAACCACTGGTCAAGGAAATAAGAAAGGACACAAACAGATGGAAAATCATTCCATGCTCATGGTTAGGAAGAATCAATATTGTGAAAATGGCCATATTGCCAAAAGTAATTTATACATTCAATGCTATCCCCATCAAGTTACCAATGACCTTCTTCAAAGAACTGGAAAAAAAACACTTTAAACTTCATATGGAACCATAAGAGAGCCTGCATAGTCAAGACAATCCTAAGCAAAAAGAACAAAGCTGGAGGCATCACAATACCTGACTTCAAACTATCCTACAAGGCTACAGTAATCAAAACAGCATGATATTGGTACCAAAACAGAAATATAGACCCATGGGACAGAACAGAGGCCTCAGAAGAAACGCCACACATCTACAATCATCTGATCTTTGACAAACTGGACAAAAACAAGCAATGGGGAAAGGATTCCCTGTTTAATAAATGGTGTTGGGAAAACTGGCTAGCCATATGCAGGAAGCTGAAACTAGACCCCTTCCTTATACCTTATACAAAAATTAACTCCAGATGGATTAAAGATTTAAACATAACACCTAACACCATAAAAACCCTAGAAGAAAATCTAGGCAAAACCATTCAGGACATAGGCATAGGCAAGGACTTCATGACTCAAACACCAAGAGCACTGGCAACAAAAGTGAAAATAGACAAATGGGACGTAATTAAACTTACGAGTTTCTGCACAGCAAAAGAAACAATCATTAGAGTAAACCAGCAACCAAAAAAATAGGAAAAAATTTTTATAATCTACCCATCAGACAAAGGGCTAATATCCAGAATCTACAAAGAACTAAAGCAGATTTACAGGAAAAAAAAAAAACAAACAAACCCATTCAAAAGTAAGTGAAGGATATGAAAAGACACTTTTCAAAAGAAGACAAATATGCAGACAACAAACATATGAAAAAATGCTCATCATCACTGGTCATTAGAGAAATGCAAATCAAAACCATACTGAGATATCATCTCAAGCCAGTTAGAATGGTGATCATTAAAAAATCTGAAGACAACAGATGCTGGAGAGGATGTGGAGAAAAAGGAACACTTTTACACTGTTGGTGGGAGTGTAAATTAGTTCAAGCATTGTGGAAGACAGTGTGGCAATTCCTCAATGATCTAGAAATAGAAATTCCATTTGACCCAGCAATCCCATTACTAGGTGTATACCCAAAGGATTATAAATCGTTCTATCTTAAAGACACATGCACACATATGTCATTTGCAGCACTGGTTACAATAGCAAAGACCTGAAACCAACCCAAATGCCTATTGATGATAGACTGGACAAAAAATATGTGGCACATATACACCATGGAGTACTATGCAGCCATAAAAAACAATGAGTTCATGTCCTTTGTAGAGACATGGATCAATCTAGAAACCATCATTCTCAGCAAACTGACACAAGAACAGAAAAGCAAACACTGCATGTTTTCATTCATAAGCAGGTGATGAACAATGAGAACACTTGGGCACAGGGAAGGGAACAACACTCACAGGGCTAGTTGGGGGTGGAGGGAAGGGGGTGGGTGAGGAGGAGTGGGAGGGATAACACCGGGAGAAATGCCTGATGTTGGCAAGGCAGGGAGGTGGGGGTTGGGGGATAGAGACAGCAAACCACCATGGCATGTAACAATCTATGCAACAATCCTGCAGGACGCAGGATGTACACATGTACCCCAGAGCCCAAATACAATAAAAAATAAATAAAAATAAAAATAAATAAAAATTTAAAACTCCAAAACTGTCTAGTAGAATTCTTAGTAGTGGTTTTACTCCCATGGCGCACAGGTTTCTTTCCACTGAAAATGTTTAATTCCCAAACCCAGAGTCAGAGAAACAGACTTGTACAAAATCATTTATTTATGAAAGTTCTTTAGGCATTGTTCATTTTACTTTTAGATCTATTAATAAAATTGACACTAGATCTGTAGGTCAAGAAAATTTTAAAAGGCATTGGAAACTTGTTAAATTTTATTATTTGGAGTCTCTACCACTAAAGTGTAATGGCTCAAGAAACATCACATCTAATGTTGGCCAGGCATAAGCAAATGGAGAAAAGTACAAAGCCATTGCATTAATCCAGGTAGATCAGTGAGATTTTTTTGAGTTTCTATTTTTTTCTTTGGATATTACATTGATTTGATCTAAAAGGTTCTCTCCTCTGCCCATCATAGAGAGAGAATCTGAAAACAAATTCTTTCTCCACTGGGAAAAAAAAATCCTATTATCCTACATGGTCTTTGGTTATTTTCTGTAGTAGATGATGGAATACTGTGCTTCAGTGTCATTATACCTTCATATAATTGATAAGAAAATAATGCCAGGAATAAAAGCAAGCATTTATTCAGCATTTGCTATGTGAGGGCACTGTTTTAAGAATTTTTCCTGTTTTATCTCACTTAATTTTAACAATCATCCAATGAATTAGGTGCTTTTATTGTATCCATTTTACAGAGGCAAAGAGAAGTTAAGCAACTTGCCCAAGGTTACAAGGCCAGTAAGGAACAGAAAAGACAACCAGAACTCAACTTTTGCTCTATCTTCAGATGATGTATAAATTTTTTAACCTCTGTGTTATATTCTGTCCTGTCTCTCATTTTTGAGTGGTAGATGAAATTTCTAGGGGCACAGGCTTGCCACTGAAAAAAAGGAAGGAAAATGCCATGGGAACTATCTGAAACTTATGAAAAGATGAATTTACTGCACTGATTTTGATGGGGAAGAGTTTTCTTTCCTACAGTCAAGAAGTGAAGAATGAGAAAGCTAGAATATTTGGCTGTACCTGTGTAAGAAAGTCCTTTGAAACCTTTTGAATTGTTGAATTTGCTCATTACTGAGTAGTTTCTTTACATACAGAGGGGGTATGCATACACCATTCAAAAATAATGAGATTTTGTAATGGACCTTTATTCTAATTACTGCAGAATTCTCTCTTCCTTAATACCATTCATGTGAAATGCTTTTCAGTGTGGGATAATGTCCTCTGAAGGGCGGATCATGTACTGCTAGTATATGGATTAAACTTAAAATTAAAAATATATATGTATGATTTTATCTCCATAGAAATTTGAAAATAATCAGCACATCAAACCTGAGTCGTTACAAAGATTATTGCCTAGATTAAACCAGGTTGATTTTGAAAGGAAAGGAGTTAATTTAATGTCAATACTATGAAATGTTAAATATTACAGGTAGCACAACAAATAAAGGAAAAATTATGGAATCAAAGTATAAAGGCCTGAAGTTTGGCAAACACTGGAGGAGCATTAGTTCCTTTCAAACAAGCTAGCTCTCTTGCCAGGCATTAAGCTTTTCTTCCATAGGCTGTGGGTCGGTAACAGAGAAAAATAGAAGGGGAGAAGTCAGTCAAGAATGGGCTGTGGGCTGGGCACGGTGGCTCACGCCTGTAATCCCAGCACTTTGGGAGGGCGAGGTGGGTGGATCTCCTGAGGTCAGGAGTTTGAGACCAGCCTGGCTAAAATGGCGAAACCCCATCTCTACTGAAAATACAAAAATTAGCCAGGCCTAGTGATGGGCACCTCTAATCCCAGCTATTCTGGAGACTGAGACACAAGAATTGCTTGAACACCAGGAGGCAGAGGTTGCAGTGAGCCGAGACCGTGCCACTGTACTCCAGCCTGGGGGACAAGAGTGAGACTTTGTCTCAAAAAAAAAAAAAAAAAAGGACTGTGTTGTCTTTTTATATCTACCCTGATTGTGTTATGTGATGAAATTCTTAGTCTACATAGGTATGACTTGCAAAAATATGTATTTTTTTCATTTCTCTCATGAATAGCATTTTTTGTACTTGCAGATAACAATGTATACCCAGTATATAGTGTTTCCTTAGCCTTTTTCTTCCTTTAGCATTTCATTTTCCAAGTGCTTTGTCAAACATAAACTGTTGTAACACCTCTTTATCTTCCCACAACCCTTGTAGTTTATTTTTTCCTATAGTCAACGTTGCAGAGCTGGGAAGAAGATAAAAGTCATGCCCAGGTCACACAAGATGTTTTAAATAAAAAGATACCACAAGAAGAATTTAAAAATGTCGAAGGGGCAAGTAATTCCCCTCTTCAAGGGAGAATTTTCAAGTATGAAGTATGCTGTAGAAAATGTACCACTAACTCAAGTTTTCTTTCAGATTCAAAATTACATTAACACTGGAATTACTGTGGTTTACTAGTAACACATTTGGAATAATACTATGTTTGCCTGTTTGTCTCTGTCTTTTCTTGTTGTTTCCTTGGATCTCATCTCAAATCTTTTCAATGTTAAATTTAAGAAAATGTGTACTTTTCTTAACTTACATATTTTGTTTCATTTCTTGCATTGCCTCTTGGCGACAACAGTGTTTTAATTGGTAGCTGTGTTTTTACAAATGAACCTAACACTCCTGTTCACATTAAAAATGCAACAAATGAAGCATGAGAAAGAATTTATATAACATGTTTTTCCCTTCTCCTTTATAGATGGTAAGGTTGAAGTTACAAAAGAAGGTGTGAAGTTGTGTACCATGGGCCCAGGAAAAGTGTTTGGGGAGTTGGCTATTCTTTACAACTGTACCCGGACAGCGACCGTCAAGAGTAAGGCTGTTTTCATATTTTTAAACTACTTTCAATGTCTTTTTTCCTAGGCCTTTGAGATATTGATTAAAATGCGCACTGATTTAATCTTTATAATTTTATTAATTTGTATTTTATTTTTTGCCCTGAAATATAGCTGATGTATTTGTTTTCCTATGAAAGGTGATTGTTAATAATCAGTTTTGTATAAATTACATTTTCTTGCTGAATTCTGAAAATTATCTTTTAATCAATAAATTCTCATAACTAGGATTTTAAAAATGATATAATTTTGTAAATTAGAATCAAATAAGAGCAAGTCCTTTTCTTTCTTTATAGCCTCAGGATTATATTTAAGAAATTTTTACATGTCTGTCTATTTTGGGTTATATTCCTCACATAAATTCCGCTTGTTTACTCAGTGGTTTAGAAAAATTAAGAGGAGAAATGTCCTCCATCTCATTCAAACATCATTGAGTAAGATATCTCCTGAATTCTAAAACTGCATCTGAGTATATTTTTGCCTTCAGCTGCTCATCAAGCTGTATATTATAGCATTTTTCTTTTCTACTGATTGAGCTTATTTTAAATCAGGGCAATAAAGCAGCTTGTTTCCCTAATTTTACATGTATGTGTATATATGATTTCTCTAGCTACTTTTGTTGCTTGGTAGAAGCAGCTGCAATAGTTAGAGGAAAAAAGATTTTTTAAAAATCTGCTTCCTGAGTAAGGATATAATGACTGTATAACAAACAGAGCTGAATTCAAAAGTCAACAATGTAAGGTTCATTGCATCTTTAGGCAAACGTATGTGTTTTACGTTTGAAAAGTCTTTCTGACACGTTTTCCTGTGGTTGATTTCAATCACAAATTACTTTGATTAGGTTTTGTCATTTAAAAAAATGCTATTGGCAAAATGATAAGTACATTGTGAATTTCAGTTAGTTTTATCTGGATCTCATGGACTACTTTTTGCATTAGTTTTTTTCCTTCAGAAGTACAGCATATAAATGACAATGCAACAATGAAATTGGATTTTAAAACACATAAGAATGCATGGCCAGCTGGAATCCCAGAAATTGTAGTGAATCACCTTTTTATTTGTTGGATTCACTGTAACATCAATTGCAAATGGGCCTCTTTTAGGATGAGTCTTCCTTGGCATTTGATTCTTGATCTCTGAAAGCATAGGACTCTTTTGATTGATAGATGCTGCCATGTTTTTACTTTATGTGATCATTCAATTACATGACTCAAAGAATGAGACTCAGTGAACCATAATAGAATCTGCCACAACTTTCACTTACTTAAAAGAGCCTTAAGTACAATAGTCACGGCTCCATTAACTGAAACAGATTTTATAATTATACTTCACTTTCATAAGAAATATATTTCTTTTAAGATTAAAAAAAAATGCCACAATAGTATATTTTGATATGTGAGAATTATAAGTAGAATTTTTTGTTTAAAAACTTTTAAAACTTTTAAATATTTCAGACTTGTATGCTGCTTGATATTTTAACTTAATTGAAACTACAAAATTTCCAAAAGCCAACAGTTGGTAATAACATAGTAGTAATCTTATGAAACATGGAATTTTTATTAAAGAAATATTTTAGATAGTCTATGTAAATGAATTTTACAGCCAAGATTTTTACTAAAATGATTTGTTTCATAAACATCAGTTTTCTTATTAGGTTTCTATATAATGGTGTTCATCTGTACTAACATCTATCGTACTCATACTTGGCAAATAGAAATAGACACTATGAATCTAATTCAATAAGAAGAAACTAGATGTTGAATGCAAATTGTAAGCCTAACTCTTTGGGGGTCAGAACATCCATCATCAAAGGAAATGAGTAATGGGACATGTTCTTCTTTAACACAGACTCAGAGAAAGCTCCAGAATTCATCTGTGCATGTGTGTTTGTTTCTTCACAGTGCCTACTTAAGATATAACGGTTGTGTTGACAAAAGAGTCTAGAGCTGGTTATGTGCAAATATGTATCTGCATTTATAGGTACAGAGGTTTTGTGCACGAATCAGAAAAAACATCTGTGAGCAACTCTTGCTTCCAAATGTTGCATAAGCACTGTGAAGTATGAATAATGATTGTTTCAGGACTTTTCGTCCTGTCACCCTCTGCTGTCTAGGGAGACTATACTTGTGACTGTAGGCCTTAAGCACCATTTTTTTTTCTATATGTTTAAATTAAACCTTCAGGATGGATATGTTATGATTCTAATTAGATCCCAGTGTGGATGCTACTTTTACAGAATGACTACAGAATATAACTCCCAATGCTGTCTTATTCTTTACGTGTGATAAAAACATGTCTTCAAATTTATTTGGCTTTTAAGGTCTATTTATTTCTTAGTATTCAAGATTACTCAACTTGTCTGTCTTTTCCTGTCATCGTGTCATTTGAAGTATCAAATGACAAGAGTATTGACCATCTGGAGTATCATTCAAAATGGATTCATCCACTTGGGTGTAATAGTCTATTCTGAGGGGAATGGTTTTCCTACACAATAGCTGATCTATTCATGCCTCTTTCTTTCTTACATACCTTGGCTTTTAACCTCCTTAACATCACCCACCTTCCTTCATGATTGAAAATGTTGATGATGCCAGCTCTGTGGCTCACACCTGTAATCCCAGCACTTTGGGAGGCCAAGGAGGGTGGATCACAAGGTCAGGAGTTTGAGACCAGCCTGGCTAATATGGCGAAACCCCATTTCTACTAAAAATACAAAAATTAGCTGGGCATGGTGGCTGATGCCTGTAATCCCAGCTACTCGGGAGACTAAGGCAGGAGAATCGCTTGAACCTGGGAGGTGGAGGTTGCAGTGAGCTGAGATCATGCCATTGCACTCCACCCTGGGCAACAGAGCAAGACTCTGTCTCAAAAAAAAAAAAAAAAGAAAAAGAAAAAGAAAATGTCAATGATCCTTTCTCTTTTCTATTTTCCTTGATCAGCCTGAAAGTTATCTGATATCTTAATGCATTTTTAACAGTAGTAACTAAATTCTAGGCAGCATTCAATAATTTTTCAATGTACATTATTGTTTCTTTTTCAAGACAGCACTTTTTGCAATTTTAACAGGCTGTGAATAAATTTCAGTGACGTCACAAGCTAATGAATATGATCCTAACACCTGTGGATTTTTTCCTATGCTTATCAAGAAGTAGTTTTCTTATTAAAGCTCTAGTTTGACATATGCTATAAAATGTGATTATAAGCTTGTTCACAGTGATCTAACAGAAAGAAGCACCTTGGTAGCTTGCAGCAAGCTTTTTGGTTTTCATCTGGGAAAAATCAATTGGCATTCTTCTGAAAATAAATAATATTTATTTTCAGTGGTTATCATGATAGCACTAGGAGGAAGATCTGATAGCACCAGGAAGAATATTTTTTAACAATCAAAACCACAGTGATATAGAAAGAAAAAATCCTGGTATGATTCAGATCTATATTCATAGTCTGCTCCTGTCTTATAAAATAACTATTGATTTTTCCCTAGGGAATAAAGAAATTAAAAATATTTAAAATTAGCATGATATTGGAAACAAAAATTTAACAACACTCTTGAGTGTGTTTATGGCTTAAATAGCCTCAAGTTTTCTTGATTAACTGTGATCTGAAAATGGCCACTTTGTATCTTTCTAATCACAAACGTACCCAATGGCATGGGTAAGGGAAAAGAATCACTTGTTCTACTTGGTTTCCATACCACCAATTCATGCTTCCAGAATTGTTTGATTGTTTTTTAATATTTTATCTAAATATTTTGACATTGTATAGTGAAAGGAGTTTTACATTCCATTTTCAACCCCACAGGGGCAGGAATTTCTCACATGTTGTTTGAAATTGTTGAGTAAGTAAAACCCCTTACTTACTCAGTCCCCACACCTGGAAGCAGATCATTATCACGTTTTCCTAAAGTGTCACTCTGGGTTGTGATTTCACTTTTACTACTCTCACAGCAATAGCAATAGCAATTTGCACTTACCCCGGGCCTTGCTTCTATGCCCAAGGTCCTTCAAAATAACAAAAACGGAGAAATGGAAGTTACTGGTAACCTAAAAGGAAAAGGCATTTTGTTTACAATGAGAGGAATTCAGTGACATATACTGCACTGGGGGTGTTTTTGCCTGTACATATTAAATTGAAGCCCTGCTTCTCTTACTTCGAGTTTCAGCTCACAGTGCCTCCAGACCTTTGGTAATGCATTATTCAAATGGCCTCATTCAACTATACTCCAGGGAAACCCAATAAAAAGCACTTTTTAGGAAAATATCCTGATGCCAGGTCAATAGAATCACCACAGAAAGTTATCTACAAAGAACATCTACACTGGTTGTGGTAGATACGTTATGACATTAATTGGGCAAAATATCTAATTATTTCTTCTTAAATTGTTAATAACAAGTATTTAAATTTTGTTTATTAAAATACTTCATTACTAACACAACAGAGCCTAAAAAGGCTACAAGAAATCTGACAAATTGATGACTTCCACAGTATCAGGTAAAAATCTGTGTTTGTGCCTTAGTTTGAATATTTTTAAGTTTCCATACTTAAACTTTCCTATTAGTTAAAAGGAAGTTGACTAAGATATTTCACTAATTGTCAGACATTTTAAGAACAAAATTTAAAGGTCTGGAGTTTTCTGTTTATGGAGTGAAATGGCTTTACATTTCCTTGCAGCTGTTTTAAGCGTTACATTATTCAAACTGTATCAGAAAAATCTGCTGACTGTCAAAAACCTAAATGATGAATGAGAAATAATAGATTTGACTGAATTTTTTGCTGTAAATACTTTTACATGCTATAAAAATAATGCCTATACCTAACACCTATGCTGTATATCTTATACATCCATACTATGCTTTTTATTTGTAAAGGAACAAAAGACATGAATGCAAATTTTTACTGTAAATGAAAAGGAATCATTGATGAAGCTCTTATAATATTGAAAACCTGGGAAATTTCCTAAGATGCCTAAACCAAGAAA